AGCGCGTCAGGATGACGAGGACGACGACGACGACGACGATGAGGAGTGTAATTGCTCTCGTCCTGGTGTCTACCTCCTCTTCGTCGTCGTCATCCGACGCAATATCGTGATAGGCATGCTGCAGCAGGGTAGAGAGAGAAAGAAGAGAAAGGGGGTGGGAGAGAGATGCGGATGCGGAGACATTGACTGAAAAAAACGTCGGCATACAGGTGGTCGGCAGAAACGATCGGAGAGTACCGCTTAATGGGATTCAACGACCTCCGTACGCCCGTTCAGTCGGATCTAGGAGTATCGGCCTGTATCAGCCTATATCGTCCGCACTTGTCGATCTCATCGACACGTCAAGGCGCCTCTCTATTTACCCCCGATCGATCGCGCCCGCGTCGCCAATATTTGGAACGGATGAATATTAACCGTGAAAATGAGAATTTCCCTGTTTGTTGGGAGAGACAAATCGTCACATAACTGTCGATACAAAGCTCAGATCGTGATTAATTGTGCTGTATCTGAAATTACCAATGAACAGACGTGAATAAGTGAATTACTTAAGTTTCACTTAACTTTAAATGGGCTGTACTTACAATTTTCATTCAAGTATTAGACACGAAGGTAAGATAATGTCCAACGACAAAAGAAAGATAACATATCCCGTCGAATATTCGTCAAGTCAAGATCAATTTCGTATTTAGAGAGGAAAGGAATCGAACGGAAGTGCGCAACGTCTTTCTCTACAAATTCTATGTCGATAGATATCGCGTTCGTTCCGAGCGAACGATTCGCCGTTCGACTTAGTTGCTCGCTTTTTCTATAAGGACGATCCGTAAGCTCTATCGCTAGGCGAGTCGCGCGAGAAATCGGCGAAATTCCCGCGGAGGAAACAAGATTTTTCGCGTCATAAATTCCTGCGGGAGGAGAGCGATTGAAGATCTTTGCTCGTAGCGGTACCGTCCTTGCCCGATCGCCTAGAGCTACGCTGGCCCTGACGCGTTGGTAACTGTTCCCGTATCCTGTCTCGACTATTCCTAGCCGAGAGCGTCCGGTATGCCGCATCAGCGAGCGTGCGACTCTCGAAATCACACGCTCAAAATGGCGCGGCTCAACAATTATCGAATTGCCGTGCGCAATTGCATTGAACGCCATAATATCCATAATATCATCTATACCGAGTGGATCCAAAATTGACGGTAAATATTTCAAAGACGGTTCTTTGTAACATTTTAAGACGAAAAGTCTAACTCGAAAATGCCAAGGCTATGTTAGTTTTCAGATGATAAGAGTTTAAAAATCATGACTAACAGGACTAGAATTTCGAGCGTGAATTCCTCGAATTTTATATCTTTGACAATAACTACACATTCGGGACTTTCAGTACTGACCATCTTTCCATCCCTGAACGCGCGAAATCGAGGGGGTAACCACTTAATGTAATCGTGGGACAGAATCCTCGAAATCATTATAAAATTTATATAAAATCTCTATGTACAATCCGATCATTATATATGCAACCACGAGAAATCATTGTATAATATTAAATAAAATCGTATATTTTACCAAATTGCTTCATAGTAGTGAAAAAAATTATTTGTAATCAGATGAAATCATGTAATCTGTGGAACAATATTTCAACTAGCGGTTATCCCCTTGCACGAAATTCTATCTCTGTCATTCGTATAATTTTTTTAATTCTTTCCATGTGAAAACTATCATCTTCAAATGTTACAAAAAATATATCTTTAAAATATTTATCGTCAGTTTTTGCAACATCCTATATATTCTTTTTATATAAAGTTAAAATAAAAACATCTGCGACGACGAAAAGAAGTGCATGTCATTGCTGTGCTACATGATACGCGTCGCTCCTTTATCGAAATTATAATGTCCTTAAGAAGTAAAAGTCTGGTCAGTGTTGCCCCATTTTCGATTGGCTTGATAAAAAATGGCGGAACCAATCAGATGATGACTGAGCACGTGACAAAATTGAAAAGCAGATATGTAAAACGCCTTATATAGTTGTGTATAAGTGCAAATAAGTAATACGTACACAAAAGTACAAACTAGAAGATTGGCCAAGACTCTTATTTCTAGGGACTCTAGAAAAGTAGAAATATCAAAATATTTATCGCGCGGATATTTCAAAACGTTGGAAATGACGAGGCGTGTAGTCGTGTGATCCCATAAGAACAAAAAATTGATGGTCGATTCGAATCCGGCCGCTGACAAACACTCGCGGGCCGGCCTCGCGCGTTCGTGGCTAACCGCTCGTTCGGCACGTACGAGTTGTTCGACACCATCCGAACATTATATATCCGAAG